CCTTGGTTTTACTACTCAGGTACACAGTTGGGAGGATTACGCCGATTCAGGAGCGTGAAGTGCGAGCTTCTGATTTTGGCCCCAAAGCAAATTTCTGGATGAACTTCCCCAAAAACGGATCACCGCTTACTCCTTCACATCGTGCTCTAGATTTCAAGTGGAAGGACTACTGCCCAATGGTTTTCAGGTTTGTGCTTCACTTTTCATTCAACAGGACGTTGGTCAGCATGTGTTCTTTTCATTCCTTTTCCAAAAATGTGTTCTTTTCATTATCTAAAAACTTATGTTCTTCTGTTGATCTAGTAGATTCGTATAACTTAGCTTAACAGAAGAAGAAAAATTATAAGGATGTCATCGAGTAACTTGAGTAGTTCAATGGCTGAAGTGTTACCCTGTTGCAATCAATCTGAATATTGTTCTGCAATGATATTTAATGCTTATTAAGTCACAGAATTTGAAATTTATTTGTTTCAGTAGCTAGTGAGACACCCTTGCAGTATTTTATTTTTCAGAACATGACAAGACTAATTTCTTGGTAGAATTTGATTATAGAAATTTGAGGGAGATGTTCAAGATTGATACAGCAGATTACATGATTTCCATTAGTGGAAGTGATGCACTTAGGGAGCTATCTTCTCCTGGAAAGAGTGGGAGTATCTTTTTCTTATCGCAAGATGACCAGTTTATGATCAAGACTCTTCGGAAATCAGAAGTGCAGGTTCTCTACCAATTCCAGCTCTTAGTAACAATAGCAAGATTCAAATGATCTGGAGCTTGCATGTCTCACCCAACACTTGATCCAAAACGGATATCTTCATTGGTCCAAAGCTTTTAGCTTATCCGAACTAGTTTCCTAGTTCACTTAATGTATCATATCAGCACTCGAATCAAACTTGTCCTTTTTGCTCATGTTCTTACATGAACACCATTGATATATACTTGACATGATGCAGGTTCTTCTGCGTATGCTTCCGTACTATTATCGTCATGTCCATGCTTATGAGAACACACTTGTAACTAAATTTTTTGGCCTCCACAGGGTGAGACCTTCCAGCGGCCAAAAGGTAGTGATATTATTAACTGTTGCTGACATTTCAAAAAAAAAATAGTTAACTGTTGCTTGAGCTCCCTATTGTCTCATATAAAAAATACAGTCTTAGAATTTGTCAAAAATATTATAACTCTGATTAGTACTGCCTACAAAACCTTCTTATTTTGTTCATGTAATAATACTATTGGGTTTTTTCAAAGAGAAGTAGTTTAATAATAAAATTATTTTTGCAACTCAAAATATAATTATTATTATTTTGCGACTTCCGATGACATATCGCAGTTGCAATTGATAGTCAAACTTGCAGAGACTGTCTAAAGCTTCTTATATTTTTTTTAATGGCGGATTAATTTCCTTCAATCTTAAAAGGATACTAGTTGTCTTATATGATTTTTCCTACTCTAGCTACTTCTTTTCAAATGATGGTAGAAACTAAACCGTGGATTTTGATTATTTGCATATGCAGTTTCGATTTGTAGTGATGGGCAACATGTTTTGCACAGAACTTAGAATTCATCGAAGATTTGACTTGAAAGGTTCGTCTTTGGGCCGTTCTACGGAGAAAATTAAAATCGACGAGAACACGACACTGAAAGACTTGGATCTGAACTATTCATTTTATCTTGAGCCTTCTTGGCGGGATGCTTTGCTAAAGTAAGCATGTTCGCTCAGAAAAAAAAACAGCTTATTCTCATGACCATTTATCTTTGTAACAACCATGCTATGTTCATGTTCGGTGTAGGCAGATCGAAATCGACAGCGAATTTCTAAGGAATCACAGTATAATGGATTACAGCTTGCTTCTTGGTTTCCATTACCGGGCACGTCAAAACCTACAAATAGGATCATCATGTCCTGAAAGCATTTTGCCAGATAAACTAACCGTTCTTTCAGAAGCAGGTAAGAGTGCAATCTATATCTTATTTCTCTGATCGTATGTTGTCCAAATAACGCATTTCACAATAGCATTTTTTTGCTTGCTGATACCGATAATGCAGATGCCGCGGAGAAGGATTCCGCTTATAACTATCGAGATGGGCTGATTTTGGTGCAGCGAGGCAGTGACAAAAATGGTTCAGATGCTGTCGGCCCGCACATAAGGGGGAGCCGCCTGCGTGCGCCGTCGGGTTGTTTCGAGGAAGTAGATCTTCTGCTTCCAGGCACAGGAAGGTCATTATAAATTGATTTCTGTTGTTCCATCCTCATGTTCTTCCAATGCTAAATGTATGATCTGAGATGATTGAATTTGTTGTGAAATTGAATAGGCTCCCGATCCAGCTAGGGGTCAACATGCCGGCGAGAGCGGAGAAAGAAGAGAAACAAGAAGAAGGCAGCAAATCACTCCATCACATGTATGATGTGGTGCTCTACATAGGGATCATTGATATTCTGCAGAAGTACAACATGACAAAGAAGATTGAGCACGCATACAAGTCCATCAAGTATAAGTATAACCCCTTGTCAATATCTGCAGTTGAACCTCAATTCTACTCGGAGCGCTTCCTCAAGTTCGTCGGGACGGCCTTCCCACAAAACTCATCTAATCAATAAATCATCTTTTTTTCCTCCTCTTTGGCTAGAAAAAATGTAACAAAAAAGGAAATCCAATGAAGTGTGTTTGCTTGGTACTCCCTCCGTCCCAAAATACTTGTCGGAGGAATGGATGTATCTAGACGTATTTTAGTTTTAGATACATCCATTTTTATGCATTTCTCCGACGAGTATTTCCGGACGGAGGGAGTACATTAAATCTTGTGCATGTATATGTATTTGTCAAAAGCAGCATAGACAAAACTAGGCATCAGCGAGGGCTCATTATGAATGGATTTGATTGTGGATTTCTGTCATATTGACTTGACCAACCACCCCACTCTCACGGCTCTCCTGGTTCTGCTCATTGGCACCCTCCTCATTGCCGCGGCAAGAGCCTTAGCCTTAGTCGCTGTCACCGGATTGGCGCTGGAGAAGGTGGCTACAATGGTGGTGGAGGTTGAGGAGAAGGTGGTGGAAGCTCCGGCCATCATTGTGGCTTTGGCTATGCACTTGTCCTCCTCCCACCCGAGGATGGTTGCTATCCACACTAGTAGAAAAGAGGGCTTTGGTCCACCCCGGGTTAGCCCATTAGTCCCGGTTCGTGCGCCCAGGGGCCACGTGGGCCATTTGTCTCGGTTCGTCTGGACCTTTTAGTCCCGGTTGGTGCCACGAATCGGGACTAAAGGGTACGATGCCCATTAGTCCCGGTTCGTGGCATCAACCGGGACTAAAGGGTTAGACCTTTAGTCCCGGTTCGTGCCACGAACCGGTACTAACGGGGTTTGAGGCATTAGTACCGGTTCATGGCACGAACCGGTACTAAAAGTCCCATTTTCAAACTCCACCCCCCCTCCTTCATTGCCTTTTCAGTTTTAAAAAAACAAAAGAAAATGATGAAAATATCAAAAAAATAAAAGAAAATAAGTTTCCCATGTGATATATGGTCTAGTTGTTGGGAAAATTTACAAATATGAATTTCGACTTTATTTGCAAAATCTCTCTAGAATTTAGTAAAATGGGCATAACTTTTGCATACGAACTCGGATGAAAAAGTTTTTTATATGAAAAATCATTTACTCGAAAAGTTACATCTAAACATTTTCAAAATCCTTAAAAATCCTAACAAGAAAAAAAGTTACGGGCCTTTATAGATCCAGAGTGGAAAAAATCGAAAAAAATTCAAACTGTGGTCAAACAATGGTCAAACTGTCAAACAATATTAGTGTTACTAAATAATCATTTCAGTTATTTTGAATTTTGGTCAAATCTGGTCAAATTGTGGTCAAACAATGGTCAAACTGTGGTCAAACAATGGTCAAATTAATTATTCAAGAAATATTAGTGTTACTAAATAATAATTGTTTTTTAAAACAATAGTTTCAAACTCAAACAGTGAAATGTGTCACTTCATGCTCAAGCAAAATTCTTGAAGGTTAATAGGATTGACATCTTACTATTGTCAGGAAAACAACAAGTGCAGACTTGGAAACGAGGGAGAATAGAACCCGGAAGTTAAGCGTGCTCAGGCTGAAGGAGTGGGAGGATGGGTGACCGTTCGAAAAGTTAGATGATTTGAAATGATGAGGGGTGATTAGAGATTAGAGAAAAGGTGGAGCTCCACGTGGGCGCGGTCTTTAGTCCCGGTTCGTTTAAGAACCGGGACTAAAGTGTGACGCCCCCGATTCAATCGTACACTAATCATGCACGCAAATGTGTACGATCAAGATCAGGGACTCACGGGAGGATATCACAACACAACTCTAAAACATAAATAAGTCATACAATCATCATAATACAAGCCAGGGGCCTCGAGGGCTCGAATACAAGTGCTCGATCATAGACGAGTCAGCGGAAGCAACAATATCTGAGTACAGACATAAGTTAAACAAGTTTGCCTTAAGAAGGCTAGCACAAACTGGGATACAGATCGAAAGAGGCGCAGGCCTCCTGCCTGGGATCCTCCTAAACTACTCCTGGACGTCGTCAGCGGGCAGCAAGTAGTAGTAGGCACCTCCGGTGTAGTAGGGGTCGTCGTCGACGGTGGCGTCTGGCTCCTGGACTCCAGCATCTGGTTGCGACAACCAGGAAGAAAGGAAAGGGGAAAAAGGGGGAAGAAAGCAACCGTGAGTACTCATCCAAAGTACTCGCAAGCAAGGAACTACACTACATATGCATGGGTATATGTGTAAGGAGGCCATATCAGTGGACTGAACTGCAGAATGCCAGAATAGGAGGGGGATAGCTAATCCTGTCGAAGACTACGCTTCTCGCAGCCACCGTCTTGCATCAAGTAGAAGAGAGTAGATTGAAGTCCTCCAAGTAGCATCTCCAAGTAGCAACTCCAAGTAGCATAATCCTACCCAGCGATCCCCTCCTCATATCCCTGAGGGAGAGCGACCACCGGTTGTATCTGGCACTTGGAAGGGTGTGTTTTATTAAGTATCCGGTGCTAGTTGTCATAAGGTCAAGGTACAACTCCAAGTCGTCCTGTTACCGCAGATCACGGCTATTCGAATAGATTAACTTCCCTGCAGGGGTGCACCACATAACCCAACACGCTCGATCCCATTTGGCCGGACACACTTTCCTGGGTCATGCCCGGCCTCGGAAGATCAACACGTCGCAGCCCCACCTAGGCAAAACAGAGAGGTCAGCACGCCGGTCTAAACCTAAGCGCGCAGGGGTCTGGGCCCATCGCCCTGAGCACACCTGCACGTTGCGTGGGCGGCCGAAAGCAGACCTAGCCTAGTGGCGTTCCAGTCCAATTCGGCGCGCGCCGCTCCGTCGCTGACGTCTGAAGTGCTTCGGCTGATACCACGACGTCGGGATACCCATAACTACTCCCACGTAGATGGTTAGTGCGTATAGGCTCGTAGCCGACTCAGATCAAATACCAAGGTCTCGTTAAGCGTGTTAAGTATCCGCGAACGCCGAACAGGGCCAGGCCCACCCGTCTCCTAGGTGGTCTCAACCTGCCCTGTCGCTCCGCCACAAAGTAACAGTCGAGGGCCGTCGGGAACCCAGGCCCACCTCTACCGGGATGGAGCCACCTGTCCTTTCAGCCCCCTCGTCAGAATCACTTGCGGGTACTCAATGAGCTGACCCGACTTTAGTCACCATCTGTATAGTATGTATGTATGTATAGTATATACCCGTGATCACCTCCCAAGTGATCACGGCCCGATAGTATAGCAAGGCAGACTGACAAGAATGTAGGGCCAATGATGATAAACTAGCATCCTATACTAAGCATTTAGGATTGCAGGTAAGGTATCAACAGATGTAGCGACAATGTCAGGCTATGCATCAGAATAGGATTAACGAAAGCAGTAACATGCTACACTACTCTAATGCAAGCAGTATAGGGGAGAATAGGCGATATCTGGTGATCAAGGGGGGGGGGGCTTGCCTGGTTGCTCTGGCAAGAGAGAGGGATCGTCAACTCCGTAGTCGAACTGGTCAGCAGCAGCGTCAGTCTCGTAGTCTACCGGAGAGAAGAGGGGGAAGAAATAATGAATACAGAGCAAACAAAGCACCACAAAATATATCAAGGCAATACGCGGTGTTCGGTGTGCCCTAACGCGGTAGTAGGTGATAGCGGTGAAGGGGGGGAAAACCCCCGGGAAAGTATTCCCGGTGTTTCGTGTTTTCGGGCAGAGGAGTCGGAGGGGGAAAGTTGCGAGTTCGATAGGTTAGGGGTTTGTGGCGGACGAACGGATTGCGTATCCGGATTCGTCTCGTCGTTCTGAGCAACTTTCATGTTGAAAATATTTTAATCCGAGTTACGGATTAAAAGATATGATTTTTAAAAGATTTTAACAATTTTGGAATTTAATTATTTATTTAATTAATTCGAAAAATGTATTTATGACGTCAGCATGATGTCATGCTGACGTCAGCAGTCAACAGGTGGGTCCCGTTCGTCATACACTGTTAACTAATTAACCTAATTAAGTTTAATTAACAATAGTTAATTAGGTTAATTAGTTATTAGGTTAATTAATCTTAATTAGTTAAACTAAACAAGATTAGATAAGTTAATTAATTAGTTAATTAATTAGTTAATTAATTAATTTTATTATTAATTTATTTATTATATATTTTTTTAATTCTCTTTTTTTTATAATCGTTCTGGGGCTGGGGCCCCCATGTCATTGGCCAGAGGGGCCATAGCGGGTTACGGGCGCTGGGTGCTGGGTCACGGGCGTGCGGTTTTCGCCCGAACGGCGAGCGGTGCGGGGCTAGCGGCAGGGAGGCGGCGACGGGCAGCAGTGGAGGCAGGGCGGCGCTAAGCAGCCGCGGTGGCGACAGGTGCAGCGGTGCGAGCGCCGGACGGAGCTGCGGGACAGGGAGGAGGAGGACCGGGACGTGGGGGCGTGGTGCGGTGTGGCGAGG